AAAGTGGCATATTACAGTGTGCTTTGTTACAAACACATATATTATTAAAGTGGCATATTACAGTGTGTTTTGTTACAAACACGTATATTGTTAAAGTGACATATTACAGTGTGCTTTGTTACAAACACGTATATTGTTAAAGTGGCATATTACAGTGTGTTTTGTTACAAACACGTATATTGTTAAAGTGACATATTACAGTGTGTTTTGTTACAAACACGTATGTTGTTAAAGTGACATATTACAGTGTGCTTTGTTACAAACACGTATGTTGTTAAAGTGGCATACTACTGTGTGCTTTGTTACAAACACGTATATTGTTAAAGTGGTATATCACAGTGTGCTTTGTTACAAACACGTATGTTGTTAAAGTGGCATACTACTGTGTGCTTTGTTACAAACACGTATATTGTTAAAGTGACATATTACAGTGTACTTTGTTACAAACACGTATATTATTAAAGTGGCATATCAAATTGTATTTGATCTTCATGTACATTAGTGTAAGATGTTTTATACATTATTCCATTTGAAATCTAATAACGTACCGTTTCGTTTTGTTGTTTTTTAGGGTTGGGTGGACAACCTAAATGGTCCTTCAGGCTTTATAGTTGCGGTAAGCTTTCAAAGTTTGTATCCTAAACAATTAAAAATATAATGTTTTAGTTATTTATAATTTATCGATGGAAATATTGTCTGTTACTTTATGTTTATAAGGCCTCTCCTCAAATGTTAAGTTACTCCACGTTTATCTATAGCCCTTCTCCCAAATGTTCGTTACATTCCTTATCTGATCTTCTATTATAACCTTCTCCTTTTATAACCATCCTTTTTGTTCTATTATGTTGTGTTTAAAACTCTCCTACTTGGATCTCCTATTATTCTGGATTTATAACCCCGAGGTGGGCACAGCACCGGTAGCCCATCTCGTACCTTTGCGCTTAACAACAAACAAATTTCCTTTTGAATTCACTTTAGTTCAGTGATTGTATTCATGAATACGTACTTGTAATCATCTTCTGCGAATTAATTTTTGTCCTGCGTTTATAAAAAAAAATTCTTCTTCACTGCGTTTCTTTTATTTTTTTCATTCCGGCAACCTTATAATCAACTTTTTTTTTCCTTTATCCTCTCTTAAAACGTTTCGTACTTCATTTTTATTTCCTTCTTCTTAAAACCTTACCCCTTACTTTTATTTTGGTCTATGTTGATCTAATCGTTTCATAGCAGTCAGGTGCTTGAATCCCTTGTATTGGAATACTCTGGAACCCATCTAGTTTACATTATGTAGGAACATAAAATGTGGGGGATTAGAGCGTTATTGTGAAGTACAAAAATACCACAGACTTAAATTAACTAACGAAAATAAATACTTGCAGACTAGCAAAGGAATCCTGCGGACGATGATGGTCTATCCCGGTGTAGCTGCTGACGTCATTCCGGTGGACATAGTGGTCAACGTGATGATATGTGCTGCATGGCAACTAGAAATACAAAGGTCAGAATTAAAATTGTTCAACGTTTTGATACGTGTCTACCAACACATGCACACTCACCTGATTTGGTGAAGTCATGTCACAAAGGCCACACACCTGATTTGGTGAAGTCATGTCACAAAGGCCACACACCTGATTTGGTAAAGTCATGTCACAAAGACCACACACCTGATTTGGTAAAGTCATGTCACAAAGGCCTCACATCTGATTTGGTGAAATCATGTCACAAAGGCCCCCACACCTGATTTGGTGAAGTCATATCACAAAAGCCACACACCTGATTTGGTGAAGTCATATCAAAAAGGCCCCACACCTGATTTGGTGAAGTCATGTCACAAAGGCCCCCACACCTGATTTGGTGAAGTCATATCACAAAAGCCACACACCTGATTTGGTGAAGTCATATCAAAAAGGCCCCACACCTGATTTGGTGAAGTCATGTCACAAAGGCCCCCACACCTGATTTGGTGAAGTCATATCAAAAAGGCCCCACACTTGATTTGGTGAAGTCATATCAAAAAGGCCCCACACCTGATTTGGGGAAGTCATATCACAAAAGCCACACACCTGATTTGGTGAAGTCATATCAAAAAGGCCACACACCTGATTTGGTGAAGTCATATCAAAAAGGCCACACACCTGATTTGGTGAAGTCATATCAAAAAGGCTTAATGGATTATTTGGAAAATACTAACAACAGCTGTTGAATATAACAACTCCCAATATTTGTTATTTCATTGTGGCTACATTTCTTTCACCACATTGTAATATACCTTAAACACCAAATCTTACATATCAGATTATTTGTGGCTCAGCGGTGAACTTGAGAGCTTAAAACGCAAACAAATCAGGGTTTCATATCTGTGGTGGACACATCTCAGATGGCCCATTGTGTTGCTTTGCGTTTAAACAAAGATATTTTGAAAAAAAATATAGGTGTAACATTTAATATATTTAATCTTCTTTAGTGTTGCTGTTGTTTTGTTCGCGCAATGCTACTCAAAGACTTTCTTTAATGACGAATCTCAATCTGAGAATTAATATGACTTCTGGATATGAATATGACAGTTCCTTAGAGGGAAAATATTTACTTCGTGCGCATGACTTACTATCTCGTTCCCACGCGATAGTGAATTGCAGCTTAGCATCCTGTCACCGAACATGTTCACCCTTTCAGCCATGGGGGCGTTATAATGGTCAATCCACTAATCGTTGGTAAAGAGTAACCCATGAGTTGGAGGTGGGTGTCGTTGTCTATCGGCCTACCCTCTAATCTATCACTTCAAAATTAATCCCTGTCACACCAAACATGCTCGCCCTTTCAGCCGTGGGGGCGTTATAATG